TTACTGAATCTAGAGCCAGGGCACTGTCTACCAGAATATATTGTCCCTCTCCCCTGGGTTGCTTCCTCTGTTTCTACTATGGACACTTCCTTCCCGGGGTACCCTTGGCTGCCACATTGTCCCCTAATCAAACAGTTCTATAAGGCCAGCCTCATGCAATTTATGCTATATGTCTTTCCTTAGGAACCAAAGTTGTTTTAATGTGTTAGTGTGAACAGAGCTGTAATTTTTAGACTAGTACAAAAGATGTCCCCATAGTGAAAGCTGGAGAAATCAGAGCAAGGGTCTAACTTACCAATGATATGCAGACCTGAGGGGCCAGGCTCATGTTCTAGAAGCAGAAATGCATGCAGACTGGTGATGAAGACTGGTAAATCACAAAGTACAACTTTTGTTCTTCTGTTTTTTATGATCTGTAGCAGAAGCAAAAACTAATGGAACAGCAAATGCAAAGCCCTGACTTTAAGCCTCCAACCTTCTGTGTGATGGTCACTCATTTAAAAGCACTGCCTTTACTACTTATTTATTATGTGGCCTTAAAATATATATGTAATTTCCCTTCTAAATGACTATTTTTATCCCTAGAATTGGTTGCCGGGGTTCCAAGAGGAGCACAGAATTTTGGATATGTGAGTACTGAGAATGCATTGTAGGATATTTTCTTGTACACATGCTTCTCGACTTACAATGGAGTTACATCCTGATAAACCCATAATGAGTTGAAAATATTGTAAGTTGAAATGCATTTAATATACCTAACTTACTGAACATCACAGCTTAGCCTAGTCTACCTTAATCATGCTCAGAACACTTACATTAGCCTACAGTTAGGCAAAATTATCTAATGCAAAGCCTATTTTGTAATAATGTGTTGAGTATCTCAAGTAACAGTATCATACTGCATTATCACTAGCCTGGGAAAAGATCAAAATTCAAAATTCAAAGTACAGTTTTTACTGAATGTATATGCTTTTGCACCATCATAAAGTCAAAGCATTGTAAGTTGAGGGGCATCTATATATGCAGAGAAATGTTTTCGTCATTGCAACTTTTAAGTGTTTTTAAGTTTCCTTTACTAATGACCTCCTTCTACTGATTCATGCTCTTTGCCTACTAACAAGGAAGGAAAACAAGCAAGGCTAGATTCGTTCTGATCTGTGTGCACGAGCAGCTAACTGGTGGGGCCTAGTGCAAAATGAAAACGCAGAGCCCCTTGTTTAAAAATTATTAAAAATTCAGGACAGCGACAGTAGATTATTAAACCAAGGGTGGGACCCATCTAAGCACAGGGCCGTGGGAGACTGCACAAGTCACGACACCCATGAAGCCGTCCCCACTCACAGGCATAATTTAGGAATAATTGAAGAGGGTGCCATTGTGATTATGATCAACACTTTAATCGGTCTCATATAGTACAAGTAAAATCCATCGTTATTTCACTAATGTATTCGTTCAAGTTGTGGGCAGGGTCACACTCCCTGCAAGGCATCTAGGGGAGGATCCTACTGTCCCCTTCCACCTTCTGATGGCTCCTAGCATTGCTTGGCTTGTGGCAGCATCACTCCAATCTCTGCCTCTGTCCTCCTGTGGCTTTCTGCCTTCTTTTCTCTGTACCTAGGAGTGTCCCCTCTTCTTTCTATAAGGACACTTGTCATTGGATTTAGAGCCTACCTGTGATGATTTCATCTCAAGATCCTTAACTAATTTCATCTGCAAAGATCCTATTTCCAAATAAGCTCACATTCTGAGGTTGCAGGTAGACATGAATTCGGGGGGGCACCAGTCAAACCCATTACAACCAGTTACCATGAAATTAGGAAAAGAAAATAAATAGACCTTATGAAAAGAAAAACTTATATTTTAAATGAAGTTTATCTTTTTAAAAAGTATCTAGAAAACATAATGGTTGACTTAGTGGAATTAAAAGGAATGTTTTTGCTATGTGGATAGCATTTTAAAATCTCATTTTTCTTGCAAAGAGCCATAGTTATCAATTTCTTATAAGAACCTGAGAACAGAAATGGATTTAGACAAAAATCCTGATTAAATAAAGTAAATTAACAATCAGGTTACTTGCACTCAGCATTATTGAATTCAGCTTTTATTTCCCCACCTG